GGGCGGGCACGGGGTCCTTTTCGTGCCCGGGGGGGTGCCCGGGGTACAAATAAACCCGGATTTTTTCCTTCTGGCGGGAGGATTTGTTTTCCCCTCCCGGCTGGTGGGATGTGTTCTCCCAGCCCTCCATCCTGCTGTCCCTCCCCAGTCCTTCCCATCCAGCTCCGTGCTCTTTGCTGCAGTGGGGGGGTCCCTGGGGAAGGGTCAGGATTCCTGGCCCCCCTTCCTGGCTCTGGCGAGGGCAGCACCATCTGCAGAGTGTCTGTCTCGGGTGACTCAGCCCTTCTCCCCCCGTCAGGAAGCAGGGATGGGCTTGGGGGACAACATGAAATGTCCCCAGCCAGGCAGTGAGGGAACAGGGAGCGTGGGGCAGGGAATGGGATGTGCTGCCGGGAACCTCTAAATTTAACATCCAATTTGTTTAAAGCTCACCTGTTTTGATGCCAGACTCCTCGAACCCGTATGTGCAAACTCCTCCTCTTGCACACCCGGAGGGAGGAAAGTTTTCCCTGTTGTTATTTCCCTGTCGGGGAGGAGGGGGGGGAGGAGGAAATCCCACCTAAATCTGGGGAGGGAACGGATTATCCAGGCATGATCCAGCTGGAGGGGCTTCTGGAGCTCCAGGCTGAGGGCTGGGCCTCCCTGGGGGGTTGATATTTGAAATTAAACAGCCCCAAAATGTCGGGGTGTGAATTAAATGTTGAGTTTCTGAGAGGCCCCAGAGCGAAGGGGGCAGGACGAGGGAGGGGGGACAGGAAGGGCAGGGAAGGATTTACTGGGGGAGAGGTGGGACTGGGGGGGTTTTCTGTGGGAGTCTGGGGGGGGCTGGAGAGCCAAAGGAAGGGCCCTGAGCCACGTTCCATACCCGTGTCCCCCCAGGAATACGACGTGTACGGCTGGTGGGTGGGAGAGCTCAACGACGAGGTCGGGATCGTGCCCAGGGATTACCTGGAAGCCGCCTACGAGCTGGAGGAGCGGTGAGGGGGGACAGTGAGACCCCAGGTGAGAGCAGAGGGGGCACCCGGGGTGTGTTCCTGCCGGGAACGGGGCCTGGAGGTGGGTGGGAGTGAGGGCTGGAGGTGGGTGATGTGGAGGCAGCTCCATCCCCTGGGGTGTCCCGGCATCCCTGAGGACTGACTGCCTCTGGCTCCATCTCCTGGTCTCCCGTTTCACCCGGGAACAGGCGAGAGACCAGGAGCCACGGTGGCAGTTCAGGGGCGGTGCCACCCCGCCCAGTGCCCCCCAAATCCCATGGGAGGGACGTGGTGAAGCCACGGCAGCCCCCAGGGCCGCCAGGAACTGTCACTGTGCCACCAACCCCGACACCAAGTGCCAGAAACAGGGAGTTTTCCTCCCAAAAACCCACAATGGAGCCGTTCCCTTGTGGAAACCGAGGCACGGGGCAGGGCTGGGAAGGAGGGGTCTGGAGTGCTGCCACCTCCTTGTCCCTCTGTGCCCGTGGCAGTGCCAGCCTCGCTGTCCCCTTCCCCACCATCACCCGTGTCTCTCTCCCCGTCCCCAAACCCAGGCACTCCTCTCTCCCTGGCCGTGCTGAGACACCAGTGACACCAGTCCCCACCAGCAGCCCGCCCTGCCGTGAGCACCCCTGGCACGAAGAGACCCCCGCGGTGCCCGGGGGTGTCCTCCTGGGGGTCCGGGGTGGGGGGTTGGCACCCCGCAATAAAGGCGTTTTCCTCTCCCTTCTTGGCCGCTCCAGACCTCGTGGAGCCGGAGCAGGGGGTGGGAAGT